TGATAACAGCATCTTAGCAATCATTGCCAATTTTTTTGAATACATATATCGGCCAATGTATCCATCAAAAATCCATCAATCAGGCTCTAATTCTCTGCTGAAGTAAATTTACTGCAGTTATAGAATGGCACTCTCAATTTGCTGACTTTTACAAGAACATATATGGGGGTGTGATGCTGCAGAATTTCCTTGTGATTCAGGTCCAAAAATGCTGATACCGATAATTAGTGGCTAATGCAGCTTCATTTAGAGGAAAGCAGTGAGTAGTGATTTATAAGGTTTGTGCATCATCAATTGTCTAAATCTTAATTCATTTTAATTAACACTAAATAATTTGCCCAAAGGTTAGAAAGCATCGTAATGAGTGGTATAATTTCTACCTGTCATCTGTGAAACCTGGGTTTGATTCCCCACTGAAGCAGGTGTGTAGGAAGCTAAGCAGAGAGTATGTCAGAGGCATTTCCTTCCTCTTCTCTTCTTCTCTGTACCAGCTCTTCTCTTGTGACTTTTAAGGGTTTATTCAAATTGGTGGTGATGCCTCAGCAGCAAAGACATTTGATCACACACCGCACCACAACCACTGAAGATTGATGTGAAGTAGAAGAGACAAACTGAAACCGGTGTGGATACTATTGATGCTAGAAATGAGAAATAATATCTGTGGTATTGATATTTTATTGCAGCATTAAATTAATCCACACATCCCTGGACCATACAGACTTATGGCTTTTTAAAACTGCCTTGTCGAAGAGGTGGGAAATCATACTTGTTCTTAATTTATTTAGTGAGACCAGTGTCAAAACCTGGTCAAAACTAATGCAAAATGCTGCCATCACACTTCACATCAAATTTGTACAAGAAGTTCCAAAATACATTTTCTCTTTAGAGCACTTCCTAAAGCTGCTGAGAGCAGCTTTTAAAATGGAAGAAACAGAAGTGATAAATAAAGAGAAGTGCCAGAATTGACCCCAAAGTTAAGCCGACATATTTGTTAACTCTCTGCAACAATTGGCAAATGAGCAGTAGGTCAGTGAGTGTGTAAAAGAGTGTAAGCAAGAAATGAAAGGAAATTCAGACTGATTTCAAATTGCTGTTTTATAAACTGCATCAGAATTCATATGAAAAACAAATGAAAACATTTATTTTTGTTTGAGTCATCAAATACTGTCAGCGTGTGATATTTTTATTGCAAAAAAAAAACTACTTTCGTTTTACTTCTCCATGTTATTGAATGTGTTTGATTTGGCAAATGATTGCGAGTCTGCAAACATCCACCGTGTAAACTGTATTCTATCGGTCAACTCCATAGTTACTGGTTTGTATTGATTTATTATGAAAATTGAAATGGCCATTGACTATGTTCTTTATTGTTTTGTTTTCACAGAAGTTTACAGTCTCTGAGCCGGTGTTTGTGTCTTCTGGTCTTTTTGTAACATCTGTCAGGATGTACTTCTAGTGCTTAAATGCTTTATCAATTACTCTTAAACCAAAAGGAGAGATACTTCAGGATGTTTTAAGAATGCATGTCCTCGTACGCACAACAGAGGTCCGGAAGCTTAGATCATTTCCAATGTGATGATGGTCTTTAGCCACAAGATGGCATCAGAGTGGCTCCTTCACCACAAGAGCAGGTTCGCTTCAGCCCAAGCACTCATTGTACCTCTCAAGGAAGGTAATAGACTGTATAGTTATCCCCTGAGTAGGATTTACTCCATCCCACAAACTATACAACCTACTACCTCACCTTGCTAGGCTCAACTTCAAGCACAGCATCTTTAAATACAAGTTCTCACTCAATACGTACTAACTTCAGAACATGTTCCAAAACTGCACCTTTGAAAATAAAGTCACTGCTGAAGAGATTTCAGACAAAGCAGAGCTGAGTACTTTGTCCTTGAGTTCCTTCATCCATGGAGCTCCTCACGTGCATCACAGCAGATCAGCCTGTCTCCTTAGGAAAGACAGTAGATTGCATAGTTATCTCAGAGGGAGGACACAAACCCCACAACTATTCAATCTACTACCTCAGCCTTAAGGACAGAGATGTATTCAGGCAGCAGTGGAAATTCATCAGTCAAACTGTGAGATAAAAGAGAGAGAAATATATCAGTATCCGCTCGGAGAAAAGAACGATTGAAAAGTAGTTTTTATTCAGTGTAGAGGACGAGATCATTAGAGTTACTACATCTAGTAATATTCAGATTGTGTTTAGCAGCAGTACATCACAGAAAACCGGCTCAGTAGACTTGAAACAAATGATTAATTTTACTGTTAGAGCATTAGTGCTGCATTTTAGTAAACTTTTACAATCTCAAACAAAACTAGAAAGGCCCTTTGAGTCGGTAGTTGTTTGCATATGCGGATGAAAACAAACCCCTTTGGACGAGGACCAAAAGTTAAAACATGCATTTGTACATATGATTAAACCACATTATTCAAATGACAATCGCTATTCTTGAGTTAGGTGGTCTGGTAACAGTTTCTGCAGGAACTACCTTCCAAGAGTAACCCCAACCCTCCCTAGACTCCATCACATAGTGGACTGAAAAAAAAGGCTTGTTCCATCCGGCTTAGTGATAAATCTGACCACTTACATCGGTCAGTGTTAAGCGAGTGGGATGGACATTAACACACACTGGCCATAGACAAAACAAATACAACATTCTACATTAATGTCAAAATAGATTTCATTAACAATAGAAAATGTGAGTCATAGTTGGCACATAATAAACAGCAGCTGAGCCAAGAATTAGTGCCTACTTCCTAACAGGCAGAGAAAAGTTGTTCAGTTTAAACCAATGTCCGTCTTTTCTCAGTTTGGTCCCGTGCAGAACCTCGGCCATTTTAGTGAGATGTTTGGCACCAGCACCCAACATGTGGTACAACCTGTTCACTTCTACTTCATGCTTCAGATCCATATAGACTTTTTTTCCCCAAAAATAATGATGAGGCATATTTACCCCCACCAAGGAGGATATGTTTTCATCCCTGTTTGTTTGTTGGTAGGTTGGTGTATATGTTTTGTTTGTTTCATTGTAAGCTAGATTACACAAAAACAACATGACAGATCTCCATAAAACTGAGTCAGGAAAAAAATATTTCATTGTGGTGCAGATCCTTCAATTCCATAAACATTGTGAGATTTTTATTTTGGGGCATTTTCACTGATTTCCCAGGGAATAATTCATGGATCTTCATTAAACAAATCAAGCATATTGACAGAGTTAATGGGGCAGTTGAGCCTTTGTGGTGGTGCCATTCTAGTTTTAAACTGAATTGCTTGGTCACTAATCATCTCCGAGAGATGAGAGTTGTTGATTCTAAAAGGTTAGCCAAGGAATCCTGCTCCTGCTTTCTGATTGACCTTCAGATGTTTTAATAGAGAAGTTGAAGGATTGACTTCAGAAAATTGCCCTTTTTGCTTAGTGTAAAAGCCACTTCACGTCAATTGAAAAAAGTAGTCTGTTTACTGTGCCAGCCGGAGTCTGGGACACAAGCTGGGCAAAGCCGTCTGGGCCCCGACAGAGCTGCACTTTGGCTGAGCTGACTGAGCCCAGACACTGTTATTGTAGACAACGATGGTCAACCCATGCAAAGGCTAGGGCGCTTTGCATAAATTAGCATGTGAACCACGGTGGTTGAAAAGCGGCTGGGCAGTTCATTAACATTCTGAATTCCTCTTTGGTTTAATTAATGCTGACAGTGATTGAAATGTTTTGGCAGACTGTGCGGCGGTGGTGCCAGGCCGGGCTCACTGGGGCAGAATGAAAAGGCACAAGGGCATCAGAGAGCTGGAGGCCTTAATTGAGATGTTGAATTAATTAGATGGTAAATGGTATCAAACTCCTCTAACTGGCTGGCCAACGCAGAGCAGACGGAGCAAAAGCAGGACAGCATTCAACTTTTTATTTGAGAAAAGTTGCGTGAACTACAAACAGAATTTGTAGCCACTTGGGCACGAACTATGACTGCATCATATCACATGATATGACTGGCATCTATGTTTCACAAGTGTTCACATTCATTCTTTACATTAGCAATGATCAGTCCAATCTAAACATCTGTTTCTCTCAGCTGATTTAAAACAAATGCTAATGACAGTCTATTTATGAATTTAACTTCACTAGATCCAAATTTGTATTTTGATCCGCATTAAATTGCACATGTACCCAGAAATATCAGTGCCCTATACAGCCCTGTTTTTTTCTCTATCAAAACCTGTAAAATTTTGAAAAACACCTCACAATGTTAAAGGAAGTTGAAAAAAATGTCCTGGAACCAGATCTTAATCCGTATCCGCACCAAAATCGTATGGGTTTTCCCCTAAACCAGACCACATCCTGCTACCAAGTTTCACAGTAATCTGTCCATTACTTTTTGTGTAATTCAGCTAAAAAACGAACTTTCAACCACTAAAATCAAAACCTCCTTGGAAGAGGTGAAAAAAGGAAACTTCTTCCATCACTTTAAAAAGAAGTTGTGATTCAGTAGTGCAATGCATCTCTCAACCACAGGCCAGGGAGACATTTGCAAACAGGTACATTTAGATTTTTCTTTTTAATTCTTCCCTTGATTGTCTCTAAATATCCTGTTGTTAAGTTATTGTGCATCAGCCTTTTTAACAGAAACTCTATATCTTGCAGAATAAATTTAGCATCTCAATCAAGAATAACAGCCTTTTCTTTTTTTTACACGTGAAACTAATGAGTTGACCTTCACAGGATATTCCCCCAGATGCTGGTGATAGGAAAATGGCCGCTTTGTTGAAGAGCAACACACAACAATAACAGGTACTGGAACAAACAACATGCCAATGAACATATCATTGCAGTTAAT